TAGCGTTGTAAAAAAAGCATTTGCAAGAGTATAAAGTTGCGCAATGGGATAGAATTTAAATTTTAGATCACAATCTTTAAAATTATAAAAATAAAACGATTATACTTTTATATTAAATTTTATATTACATATTAATCTGAGAGTAAAAAATATATTGTATATTATCCATCATTCAAAAATGTGAAAATGACAAAAAATAAAATACCTGTTGAATTTCAAAAAAACAAATAAGTAATACTAACTACCCTTACAATGGTTTTGACTACTCTTGTAATGATTTTCATATGTCAAAATCAGTTATTTGTCATTTTAAAATTCAACAGGTATTTTTTTGTTATTTTTTCTTCAAAAATTGATACTGTCCAAAAAAAAGTCAAACTATAAGAGCAACCCCCACATTAAAGCTATTTATAATAGATTAAAATATACATTTGGTATTTAACTTTTTATAGGACTTTAGTTTGATCCTTTAATTTTAAAAAATATATTCTTAGCCATCTAACTATAAAATTGCTAGTATTAAATAATAAACTTTTTGTAATAATCATGATGGTTTTAAAAACATATATAAGTGCAATACATAACTAGGGGGATACATTATAACTTCCCAAAACAGTCAAAAGTTATTATACGGAAAAGGGGCCTTTAAAAGGATATTCCGAAAAGAGTGGATGGGGTTTTTGGGGTTTTGCCCCTATACAACATTACGCTCAATAACACCTCTCTCCCAAGGCCCAATGGGTATATGAAGATTGCGACCAAGTTATTCTGAATTCATTTGAGGGCAGAGTGAGGTGGATCATGATGTTGGCCCATAATTATGAGTAGGATAACTTTCTGCCTAACTACAACGGCCCGAGCGACCAGACTGGACATAAATGTAACCACTGGAGCCATTCTTTTTTAGGGCCTGTTTGGTTTGAGGGGAGGGTAGGGGAGGAGAGAGGAGAGGAGGTTTTATCCTCATATTATTTAGTTTGATTAAAAAGAAAAAGAGGAGAGGATATTTAATAATACCTTGTTTGGTTCAAGGAGAGGAGGGGAGGGCTAGTAATAATCAATTTACCATTTTACCTTTACATATTAATTTATATTTTTTATTGATATATTATATAAATTAATTTACATCTTAATTTAAATTATATAATTTAATGAAAATTTAGTCTTATCATGTTAATATGTGCATTAAAAAATTGTCACAGTAATTTTTTATTCTAATTAATATAATAATATATTTAAAATAATCAAATTAACAAATTTTATATGCTCTAAGAAAAATGAAATTTTATTTTCTTTAGGCTATCCTTTTTTTCAGCTTTAAAATATATTTAATAAATAATATATTTATAAAAAACATTTAATTTTATAATATTATAATTTTTATTTTAAATAATTTTTTATAATATATTTTTAATTATAAAAATTTATATTTTTTATTTTTTACTTAGAATAATATATTTTTTATTTGAAATAAATATTATAATAATATATTTTATGGGTAGTAGTGTAATATTAAAAAAAACTATAAGGGTATAATGGTCCAAAACTTTAGCTCCCCTCCAAAAACCCTCAATTTGGAGGGGAGCTAATGGGGGTAGGGGAGGGACATTTTGGCTCCCCTCCTCTCCAAAATTTTTAACCAAATGAGGGGAGGGGTTCATTTGCCCTCTCCTCCCCTCCCCTCCAACCAAACAAACCTTTAGAATCAATTTCAAACCCCCTGCTGGAGCCTGGAGGCTGTAACAATCCAAATGATCCCATTAAGAGTGTTTGGAATGCCTTAAAATCACTAAGGGTGTGTTTGGATGAAACCAAACTATGGTTTGGAGAATAGCTTCTGGAGAATAGATTCTGAAAAAAATAGATTTTGGGAAGAATAGATTTTGTGAAAAAGTGATTTTGAGAAGTGTGAGTGTTTGGATAGTTGTTACTAGAAGTATTTTTTATATATACAAATTGGCATAAATTAATATGATAATTATAGAAAAAATATATTTTATGATATATTTTAATTTGAAGGAATAAAATTGTTAATAATATATTTTTTATTAACATATATTAATAATATATAAGATAATATAATTAATAAATAATTAATATGTATATATATTTATAAGATATAAGATTAAATATGTTTATAAAAAATATGTTTATAAAAAAAACAACAAGATACATATATTATAGGCTCTCACACTCTCCCTTTTTTCTCCAAAAGTAAAAAATTTCTGCTTTTCTCAAAACCATGGTTTGGATCCCAAAACCATGGTTTGGATCCCAAAACCATGGTTTGGGGTGCTTGTCAAACACACCCTTAAAGAAATATTTTTATGTAAGTTGAGAAATTTTTTTTTATATATTTATTTTTTATACTGTAAAATTATTTTTAAAATTATAATTTGATTTCTAACTAAACACAAAGATTTTTTTTTACTTTGCACGGAAGCAATTACTTTACGTTCAGCATGCCTACCACCAAAAAAAAAAAAGTGATTTCAAATTGGTTGGGATAGAATGCTAAATTTCCAGCATTTTGATCCCTTTTATTCTTATTTATTTATTTACCTCTAGTCTCCCCCAACCCAGGCGTTTCTTTTTTTTTTGGTTGATTATTCTTCTACTTTCTATTCTTTTCTTCTCCCTTTTTCTCTTCCTCTTTTTGTAATTTTACATCCATTTTCATTAAGATATGAAAACATTTATTTTTATAAAGATTTCTGATTTCTTTTAAAGATTTTTTTTTTATCATTTATAATCAACACAAACCACTTTCCATAATATGTTCCTCCACTTCTCTTCGATACGTTTGGATATATCTATTTTAGACAAAAAATATACTTTTAATCTGTTGACTTTATATAAAATTTTAATTTAGTCTCTTAACTTTAGAAAATATATTTTAAGACTTTTTAACCTTTCAACAAAAAGAGATGATATTGAGATCTTAAATATTGATAAAATATTATTAAATATTAACATATTAAGTTAAAACAACCGTGATTTTTATAAAAGATCATTTAATAAGACAAATGATTTTAAAATTAAAAAACTAATTATATCTTTTAAAATTAAGAGATAAAAACGAGGCATTGTATAGAGTCAAATCACCAAATGAGTACTTTTTATTTATTTTATCTGTACAGGTTTCAAAAATATGTCAATATTTATATAATTCATTCTACAAAATGGTTGCTCCCAAACCAAAGCGGATGTGCATTAATAGTAATGAATAAACAAACAGAAATATAGAACCTCTCAGAAGGGTTAATGATTATCCCAAAAAATTATTATATATTATCCATCATTCAAGAATGTGTATATTTATATGATCCATGGTCCAAAATGAGAGCTCCCAAACCGAATTGGATTAGCATGGGCGTGTTATATTGATAAACAAAGCAATAAATACATAAATAAATAAATAAAAAAATAAAGGGACTCAGTTTCTTCAAACTAAGCCTAAATAAGCTTAATAATTGAGACAAGTAATATTTGTGCGATGCTGCAGTCACCCAGTATTCATCTGCCGTTAGATGCCCTTCTTTCATCTTGATACTCATTCAGGCTATAAAAACCTTCCTTCTCAAGTTCATATTCACAAGAAGTAAGTGAATTCACAAGAACAATATACGTTTGTTCACTGAATCAGGGGAATCCCATAAAGGCAAGGACATCAACTCTTATTAATGAGACAAAACATAGGAATTATTAAGACCACTATTGCATCTATCCAAACCGATGACCACAATGAAACTAACAAACTTAATTTCTTAATGTAAACTTAATTTGTTTTGGTAATCAGAATTTTTTTAAGTACGAATGTCCTAAAATTTTTGAAAGACATAAACAGAAAGAAATGTGTTATTCCTGAAAAATTAACTTACGTAAAGAAATGAAAGTTTTAAAATTTAGTGACTACAAAAGACTTCTGCATCATATTCCACACATAACATGTAAAATTGTAATGCATTATTGAAACTTCACAAATAGTGATGGCATCCGCAGTCAATTACAACACATCTTCATTAATATTAAAATTATAATTAAGAAAGTCAATTATAACTCTAATAATCAAGTTAGTTTAGCACTTCGATTTGAACAAATCATTCAACCATCCTGCACTCGTACTTTTCGTCTTTAAAATTTTTTAATGTGTAATTTCAACATAAAAGGTTGAAGATAACCACAAGAGAGTTGTGTTTTTGGAAAAGAAAAGTCATGGGCCACATGTTTCTTTGTCTCAAAATATAATAAATACGAGTTGTGTAGACACACTCAACTTATCTCAAGAGATTAGTCACAATAGAAAAGTCACTTTTTTAAGCTTCTCTAAATATAAAAAGACACATAAGATCAAGATTTGTGTTGCTTTTCTTGTTGTTGGGAATTGTCCAATTGGGTTTGTGTGGAAGATGCATTGAATCAGAGAAGCAAGCTCTTCCCAAGTTCAAAGCATCTATTCATCATGATCCATACGAGAGCCTTTCCTCCTAGAATCCCAAAATCAATTGGTGCCACTGGGATGGCATCGTTTGTCACAATGTTACTGGTCATGTTCTCAAACTTGATCTTAGTGGCTACGGCCTACAAGCTACTAGTGTTGATTCATCTTTGTTGGAGTTGCAACATTTTATTTATTTGGGTTTGAGCGAAAACAACTTCAATGCAATTTCTATTCCTATCTTTTTCAGTTCTATAGAGGGCCTGAGATATCTTTTTATTTCTGATGCTAATTTCACAAGAAAGATTCCCACCATTCTTGGAAACCTCATAGACTTGCAATTTCTTGGTCTCAGTTGGAATAATTCTCACACCAATGACATGAATTGGGTCTATAAACTTTAGTCTCTACAACAACTCAACCTAAGTGTTGTCTACCTTGGAGAAATTCACAAGTTGTTCCAAGTACTTCACATGCTTCGTTCTTTATCAAAACTCCAATTAATTAGTTGTGGATTTGGCAATTTGATGATATTGATGGTTGAATCATTATTGCTTTTCAAAATTGGACTTCTATTAAATCCATCCACCTTAGTTCCAACAATCTTAGCTCACTGCCCTTATGGTTTGGAGGGCTTAACAATCAGGTTTATCTTGATCTTTCAAGGAATGCACTTTGTGGATCCATTCCTATTGTTTTGCTGAACTTGACATATCTTGAACTTCTACACCTTTCTTCAAACCATTTTACTTTAATTCCATCTTGATTGGGAGAGTTACAGAGCCTTCGCTATCTATCCATTTCTCAAAGTCAAATCTTACTTATAATGGAAATTTCTATATCACAAATTTTACAAAATATGTCATTTAAAAGGATTATATTTTGAAAAAATCAATCTTCAATGAAAAGCATTTAATGACTTTGATTTTTCTGGATGCATCAAACATGACATAGAGGAATTGTACTTGAGCATTAACAAACTCAATGGCAATTTGCCAACTTGGATAGGGCATCTTCAAAAACTAGGTAACCTTGATCTTTCAAGTAATTATTTTTGTAGTAGTATTCTTCAAAGTCTTGGTCAACTTGTAAATCTAGAAAGCCTTGATCATTCTTATAGCAATTTCTTTGGTGAAATTCCAAATTTTTGGGGAGATATATAGTGATCCACCACTTGGATTGATGGCAATAAATTTCTCATTCAACAAATTGTGTAGTGCCTTTCCTATCTCTATGGCCAAACTTTCCTCATTGTTTTGGTCGCATTTGTATAATAACTATCCTAAAAGGAAGCTTCCATTGACTTTTAGAAATTTGAAGCAACTAACAATTTTATATTTGGGTGAAAATAAGTTTTTTGGAAGTACACCATCATACTTTTCCTACATTGCAAATGCTGAGGTTGAGGGATAACATGTTAGATAGTAACATTCCCTCAAACCTGTGCCAACTCAAATCACTCCAGATTTTGGACCTTGCAAATAGCAATTTAAGCGGCTCACATATACCTCCATCACATTGGCAATCTTACAGGAATGACCAAAGACTGTGCTCATGCATTGAATTCAACCAATCAAGATATTGTAGATGAAAGGCCATTTTATGCTGAAATAGATTGGCAGAATCAGGATGTGAAACAAGTTATGAAAGGAAAAGAATATGATATTGCTAGAATCTTGCGTCTTGAGGTTAACTTTGATTTGTGAAACAACAATTTGGTTGGATCAATTCCTCTTGAGTTGTTCTCGCTAATTGGATTGATAGGCTTGAACATTTCACACAATCATTTGGAAGAAGAGATTCCAAAGATTTTAGGGATATGAAATCATTTGAATCCTTTGACATCCCTTGGAACCAAATTTCAAGCCCAATATCCAAGAGCATGTCTAAGCTGATGACACTAAACTACTTGAACATGTCATAAAATAATCTTTTAGGGCCAATTTCAACTGAAAACCAATTCTTAACTTTCAATGAGCCATCCATTCACACTAGCAACCCTTATCTTTGTAGAATCCCATTACCAAATAAGTGCCAAGGTCATGATCTTCATCAAGACACTGAAACTGCAAAACTTGAAGATGAAAATGATTCAGAAAAAGTGTGGTTTTATTTTGTTATAGCAGTTGGATTTGCCATTGGCTTCTGGGGGACTATTGGGACTTTAATGTTGAAGAAGAGTTGGAGATATTCTTGTTTTTGAGATGTAATAGATGAGATATTTGTATACACTTTAATAAAAATAGCAAAGCCAAAGACGCTGCTCACAAACTATGTCCATGGTTGATATTTGTAGCCGTGTGTATCTTTATTATCTATCTTGTTGTCTGTATGGTGCAATGTTTCAGTATGTGTGGAACAACAATGACAACAATATTAATATTAACTTAGGTTTTCTTTTTTTGGGTACAAAAGTTTCAGGTAAGGGTTTCAGCTCAACCCAACCAAAGGCGGTGCATTTAATCTGCTCCTTCTAAGTGATACTAATGTTATCAAACCCCCTTCCTTATAGATGAGAGGGTGCAGTTCTGACCTCTGTATCCTTGGACAACAAGTAATAAAGGATTATTTTCATATATAGTGTAGTCTTCATGATTTTTCACTGTGAACAAGAGAATTAAATCTCTAATTAAGGCCCAATATGACAAGGCCCAACAGATATAATAAGTTTGAGTCCAAAGATGTTATCGTATATTAATATTGATTTTAACTATTGCACAATTAATGTATTTATCTCAAATTTGTTGATTCTTGAAGTCAATTAATATAACAAAGATATCGATGCAAACAATATGTCAAATCCTAAAGTCAGTCAACAATGACTTTTTCCTTTCGTCTTTGAAGCGTTGCGAATCCTTTCAACACGATAATTGGATTTTTTGAGGAAATAAGGAATGGAGGTGGAGGATCATGCTCATTGTCCAAGAAAGAAATTAAATGTCTCCCATCAAAGACTTGTAATTGGCAGTATTTTTAGATATATGACTTCAATAACTTTTCTGGTTCCATAAGCAATGTGACATTATCAACAATAGCACACTTACTTGTAGGTGATAGTATAACAAATTTATAATTACAATTTATATTATTTACATTTAAAATATATTTTTTAGTTATTCATCTATTTTAAGAAAAATAACACTCATTTGTTAAGTATAAAACCGTACTCATTAATTCATCTATTGAATAAAACACTTATGTTTTTAATTTTAATGTAATAAAAACATATATCTGTATTTTTATGTCACTGCCAAGAAAAGCAACTAATTATATATCGCATATTGTTCGGTTTTTGTATACTAACTATATTCCTTAATATATAATAGCTAGTTGAATTTTTTTTTTAAATGTAAGACTCTAATTTACTTTGTCTCCAATATTTATCCATTTTTTCCCAAGCAATTCCTATCATGATTACACATGTTAAATATTTTTATCAAAGGTGTAACTCTAATATTAACAAGAACATTTTAGAAAAAATAATACTAATTTATTACAACTAACAAACTTAATTATTTTTTAAATTTTTATAAATTAGTAATATAATTCTCATAGTAAGGATTGGACATAAAAATGTGTATAGGCCAAGGAGCCTAGCTACTTAGGTGAAATTTGAATTACGTTTGAAGATTTACTAATTGTAATTATCGTATATATTAGCTCTTTAATCCGTTATTTGTGTCATAACTGGGATTACAATTAATTCACTATTGCAATTATACCCTCATAAAAATCTGTTTTCATTCATTCTTAATTATTCTCGTTTTCTTTTTTCTCCCTTAGCTTTCATCCAAGGTCTACAAAATGATGAAAGTGTGAGTGAAAAATATAAAGAAATCTTAAACTCATCTTAGAAATTTGAAGTTCGTAGCATCACTTAATTGCAAAAATCTGAAATGCTTGGGTGGATTCATTTTAAAAGCTGTATAAATTAGATTATTTCCCCTTTTTTTTTCTCCTTTGTGTGTGTATTTTGTTTTGTGGTTGTATATTCTAAATATTTTAGCTATCAATATTACTATAATAAGTAAGTAATTACTGTCCCATATTGTTTTGGGTTTTGGAGATCATGACCACAATAAAAACGTAATTAAATAATTACTAGTCTGTTATAGTTGATATGTAATGTCCTGTAGCCATACAAATTTTAAGCTAATTGAAAAAGGATTTTTATTACTTCCCATCCTTAATATAATAGTTAGTTTAAATTTTAATTTAGTATTAAATATAAAATCTCAATTCATTTTGTCTCTCATATTTATATAATGTTTCTCAAGTAGTCCTTATAGTAATTGCATATATTAAAAGGTCCATTAAATGTTGTTCTAATTAATACACATGATTATCAAGGGTATTTTGGAGACTACAACATCTATTGATTACAAATAACTAATTTAACAAATTTTTTTAATCTATTCAAATTAATCAACTAGCTCTTACATTAAGAATTGTAGGTAGTATTTTGAAAGTGGAACGAACTTAACTGCTTATTATATGTTCACTATCAATTTTCTGAAAAAAAAAAATAAGATACGTATATAGCTTTTAATTAACAAGAATCTATACAGAATATAGCTTAAAAATTATAACACTTATCCAAGAAAATTGTTGTCCATTAGAATTATTGACCATGAAGTGTATAAGCGCGCACAATTAATAATCAATCGCGTAGAGTTAATGCCTATAGACTAACACTCACTATTCATCAGAAGTCTCCGAACCAAGACCTATAATTGACGTGTTTGGCACGCTAGAAGAAAAATCAAATAAAGTTTATTTGACACTTTAGAACTTATTGTCTTTTGACTGGATTGATGATTTCAAGGACTTCAGGTTTTCCAAATTAATCCCGCGGATGCATGTAATTCAGAGGAATATGTGAGTGATTCATATACAGCGTCTTGTTCTTTTATCAAGGGTATACTCAATTTATTACGCTATCTTCCATTTTTAATGTTTTGTAGTTCAAATCAATTGGTTTTCATGTGAATACAATAACTTTCATACTTTTACTGAGGGGAGTTTTTTTTTTTTTGGTTGGAAATACTGAGGGGAGTTAATCTAACGGATATTGTCCGAAGTAGGATATGCAGTGTGGGGGCATATTTGGTAAACTTTACCGAAGCTACTAAATGCTTTGGTCTTTGTTTAATACGTCTCAATAATAGTTTTTAAATCTTGTATGATATTGATTTCAATTTCTTAACTACAAGTTGTCCCGTAAACAAGTTTGATGTGATTTTTTCTCTTATGAAAAAGGCCCGCTCATCAAATAGGAAAAATCGTAAATAATGACTCTAAAAAATCAAAAAACTGTGATTTGAGTTTTGAATTCAAAAAATTGTTATTAGACCCGCTTGTTATATGAGCAAATATTCTGTAGAAGATCAAATTGCCCTGCTGTTTGAACTCGTCATTTTCAATTGCAAACTTATTATTTAAAATATTTAATTGTAATTTTTAATATTGTACTCGTTATTTGGTAGTATAGACTTGTTATTTGAAATGTATAACTTATAATTTTTAATACCATATTAGTTATTTCCAATAGTTAACTTTTTATTTGTAACATGAGGGCAATTTAGTCTTTTAAACAATATTTGCTAATTCAAATTTAATATCTTATCCTAACAGCAATTTTTTAAATTCAAGAACCTAAATTGTAATTTTTTATTTTTTTAAGGGTATTTATTTGCGAGTTTTCCCATCACGTATGAATATAAAGAACAAAGCTGAGTGAATTTATTTTAACTTTCTTCTTAAATTTCCGTCTTCATTTAATTTCTATATGCAAACTTAATTTATTTTATAATTAATATTGGCTTAAGCTTTTAAAATTACAATGGATAGGAGTATAGTTAGAATTTTTGAAATACTAGTGTCCTAAACTTTTTAAAAGACACATAAAGGGAACTTACACAAAAGAATGGATATGGATTTAAATTTAATGACTATAAAAACTTTTCCACCATGTTCCACACGTTACATATAAAATTCTTAAAAGTAAACTGTACATCGTGATTGATTAATTATACATGCTCATACATTTCACTGCAATATTTCTAATGGACTACTATTTTCTCGGATAAATTATAATTTTTAAGTTATATTTTATATCTATTCTTGTTAATTAATAAAAGCTATATATAGATACACATGTCATATTTTTTTCAGAAAAAATTAATAATGAAAATATAACAACGTTATGTTTATTCCACTTTCAAGATTGCTTTTCAGTTAATTTAAAGTCTGCACGGCTATAGGACTTTGCCGATCAACTATAAGGATACCGGTAATTATTTAATTACATTTGGCTAGAATATACTCCTTCGATCCTTAATATAAGATCTATTTAATTAATTTAATTAGATTAAGAAAGTTTGATAAGTTAGTTAATTAAAAGATATATGACATGTTTTTCTTAAAATACCATAATCATTTTTCTTGATATCCTTCCTCCTTCTCCTACTTGATTATGGCTTAAGGAGTATCAATAAAGGTAATTTAGAAAAAATTGATAAAAATAAAAAACATGTCTTATATTTAGGATCAAGATCAACTCAACAATTAGATCCTATATTAAGAACCAAAGGAGTCTTTAACTTTATAAAAAGTTTCTATTTAATCCTTTATTTTTTTAAAAATACGCCTCTACCTATTTATATGTTACTTCCAACATGTTTCACATAGATCAAGAAAAATCTTA